TTTTTTTTTTTTTTTTTCAATGTATCATATACAAAAGAACATTTTTGAGTTCAGGAACAAAATAGAGAATTAAAATAATAAACATAATGATCACTTTGTTTGACATTGTGTGAAGTGTTAACCAATTATGATTGCAACTTAACAGCCTCAATCAACATCCAGTCCATCCGAAAAGCAGACTGGTGAGATGGAGATGATGGGGACGATGCATATGTTGACACAATTAGAATGTGTTGGTGCTTTGTTCGATAACTTTCAGGCCGATCGGGACGGAAATTGAAATGTTGCACTCTTTTATTTATTTTTTATATACTAGTAAAATATATGTGCATCTTTTGAACGGTTTAAAATGATTTGTCGGGGTGTCAATATTCATTAAAATTTGATGATTTTAGCCTATATATAATATATATCTAGTTTGAATCCTAAAGTGAATGTGGAATTAATTACTTCAACAGTGCAGTCATACAATACGTGCATATTAATTAATCAACATATATCATTCATTACAGGGTAAAGTATAAAAAAACTCCCTCAATTATTTCTAAATTGGCAAATAACCCCCCTTTCTAAATTGGCAAATAACCTCTCTGAACTATATTTTGTGCATAAAAACCCCTAAACTATCACATTTAGTTGCAAAATGCCCCATTGTCTTACCTATTTTTCATTATATGACCATAATACCCTTTCTTATTTGAAATTATACTTGATATATTTTTCTTGTTAAAATAAATTATGAAAAAAATTCATACTAATTTAATGAAATATTCTTCATTAAATTTGCATAAGTTTGCATTTAATTTTTTTAATTAATTATTTAAATAAAAATCTTAAATAGAAAATTTTGAAACAATTTAAGTAATTTCTTAATTTTCATGAATATATTGCATTAAAAAGAAGATATTTTTTATTTACGTAATTTATTAATATTTCATGAATATTGTTTGAAAAAGAATATATTTTTTTATACTAAATTTTTTTAAAGTGAGTATAATAATTTTTGTTATAATAAGTTAATCATTTAAAAAAATGATAACTACAAATTTATTTATTTTTTTCCATTTTTATAATCAATTGATACTAATTATAAAATTAAGGTAAATGATATAATTAATATTTAAATAAGATAAAATATAATAAAAAATAATTTAATAAGAAATGACAAATTTAATAACAAAGGGTGAAATAGTCTTTTATAATGGATTTGTTTTTAATTGTAACAAATCAATAGTTTAGGGGGCCATCTTTAGTTCAAGGGGCATAGTTGCAAAACGCCAATACTTCAGGATTTTTTTGCACTTTATCCTTCATTATAATTACTATGATTGGACCAATTTATTTTAGAAGGGTTATTTATTTATTTTAATACTATAAAAGGCCTCATCCTCCAATCATATCACGACACATTAGTGATAAAGAGAAGAAGTATATATATTGTTCTAAAATTGCTTTTAAACTTCAATTATTTCAACTTAAAATCTTATGTACAGAAAAAGATATATGTTGCATCTATAGACTATAGTTTTTTTAACGTGATCGAAAAAAACATTTCCTTCTTATTTCTGGTCAAAGGTAGCATGCATGCATCCACATGAAGCATATAGTACAATCAATATTGGTGTATAAATATATATATATATATATATATATATATATATATATATGTCAATATGTGTGTGAGTGATAATATTTTCTAATATTAATATTTATAAGATTTGAGACAAATGCACGCAGTCCTAATTGCGGTATGTTTGGGTTGGGCGCACGCAATTTCTTTCTTTACACAGGCTGACTTTTTCTTGGCTGTCCGCCATATGTTTTTGTCTATATAATTACCTAGACATAAGTTGCATCTATATACATACATGTGATTTTGGCTGTCCGTCTTTTTCACCGGATTGGGGTTGGCTTAGATCATATCTAATGCAAAATGTTAATTTTGCATGTGAAATTTATATTTTGAAAGATGTTATAATATCAAAATGCTATATTTTAGTAATTCTGTTCCAATGGTACATTTAATCCAAAATGTTATTTTTTGACACAATCACCATTCTTTTTCAACTATCATTCTCAATTTCCATTTTCAGATAACTCTTACATCAATAAAGGCCAATAAGCAACAACAACAACACCGCAAAAATAAATTAAAAAAAAAGACCCCAATTTACGGAGCAAATTATAGTCCAAAAGGAGACGAATATATATATATATATATATATATATATATATATATATATATATGCAAGTGTGTGTGTATATATATGATTTTAGGTGTGGCTGTAATGTGGTGGGAGGATGTGGCATGGATTGTTGGTAGTGAAAATCCCTTCGACTTGTTGCCTTTTTCAGTAAACTCTCATTGTCTAATGTTTTACTAAAGAACCCTACTCGACTTGTAACCCTTTTTAATAAATTCCCCTTGTCTAATTTTTTTACCAAAAAACTCCCCTCAACTATCTAAGGAGAGCAAAAGAGTTGATATTTGGACTAAAATATCTTTTTATTTAAATCTTAATTTTTTCGAAATTCAAAATTTCATATCTAACAAATCGTACATCCAAATATTGCAACTAATATATATATGAAAAGCTTATAAAACAAGGATTCCATAAAATATTATATTTGTTTAACAAAACTTCATAACCAGAGAGAAATAGATAATCTAAAAATCTACTACAACAATCTTATTTTATTTTATTTTTTTATAAAATACTTGGATTATTTGTAAGAAAATTTTAATAATTATTCATTTTCATATGGAGTATAACATATAAAAAAATTAGTCCCAATAAAAACCGAATATTCATTTTTATTTATTTATTTTTTAAAAATTGTGAGTCAATAAAAAAATGAAAAATACTTTAACGCAAAATATGATAATTACTATGATTTTATTTATTTATTTTAATACTATAAAAGGCCACATCCTCCAATCATATCACGACACATTAGTGATAAAGTGAAGAAGTATTATATATTGTTCTAACATTGCTTTTAAACTTCTATGATTTCAACTTAAAATCTTATGCACGGAAAAGATATATATTGCATCTATAGTTTTTAACATGATCAAAAAAAACATTTCTTTCTTCTTTCGGGTCAAAGATATATATCATGCATGCATGCACATGAAGCAGATCGTACATGCAATCAGTATTGGGGTGTGTGTGTGTGTGTGTGTGAGTGATAATATTTTTTAATATTAATATTTATAAGATTTGAGACAATGCATGCAGTCCTAATTGCGGTTATGTTTGGGTTGGGCGCACGCCATTTCTTTCTTTCCACCGGCTGACTTTTTCTTGGTTGTCCGCCATATGTTTTTGTCTATATGATTTTGGCTGCCGTCCTTTTCACCGGATTGGGGTTGGCTTACACATCAGTCTCTAGGGCTCTAGGGTACAAATGTCTTTACAGATTGAGTGGCCTAAATTAGGTCATGTGCATGGTTTCACGTATTGATCGGTTTGTAATTTTTTTTTTAAGAATTCAATATCGTTACATACTTTTATGATTGGTCGGTTTATACCGATATTCGCTCAATCTATTACACCATGACTGTGACCAATATCACAACTGTGAACCATGGTCGTGTGTTTGATTTTGGTTATGGTCTGTTTTGGACATTGGCTTGAATTGTTCCGGTCCGGACTTGGGCTTGGTTTTGGGACTAAGGCCTTTTTGTACATTTTCACATATATATACACAAATTTACCTTCTAAAAATAATAATAATAATAATAATACACAGACCTGAAATTGCAAATTTTTTTCTATTCATTTTATAAAAACCAAGAGTACGTGTTAATTTTCTTTTCTCTGTCTCAACTATTTATTTATTTATTTATTTTTGAACATTTGTCTCTACTATCTAAACATAAATTATTGAACTCAGAAGCTTGTTATTGAGTGGTAACATAGTAATGTAAAAAAACATATGTATATCATGTTTTGAGACTGCACTATTTATTATTATTATTAGTATTATTTTATTTTTTTAAAATTTTTTGTTTTTGTGAAGTACATAATTTTCAAATTGGGCCTAGCTAGGCTTATTGGGCTCTGACGGGTCAACGAGTCCCACAGAAACTTCTTTTTTTTTTTGGTTTTTATTTTCAGACGCTTGGGCTTGGAATGTGCTTATCTTTTTCATTGAAAAATTACAGGTTGGGAGTTGAAAACAAAAACTATCAATTAAAATTGAAAATTAATTGTAGCGATATTCATACCTCGTTTTTCTCCAATTGCATTCCACTTATCTTTTTTTTATTTATAAGAAAATAATAAGAAGGTTCATAAACTCATTAATGCATCATTCCTTATTTTATAATATCAAACTACCGTTTATACGGCGTTTACTTTTCTCTGAAGGAGCCGGATCAAACGAGGAAAGAAGATACTAGACTAGAATGTAGGCATTGCATTTTCTTAATCATCTTCATCGTTACCACCATCACATCCTAGCACCATGTTCACCATGTTCATCATCTTCATATAACCATTCTGGCAACCCAAATGATTACCGTTCTGGCGATTCAAACCTCGTACAAATGCATTTTTTGGCAGATCCCACATAATGAAACTCAATTCCGGAAGCATGTTCTTACAATACTCAAGTGCTTTGAACGTTTTACTTTATTTAACCGGTAGTTTTACATTCTTAAGTGAAAGTTTTACATTAATAAGTAAAGATTTTACATTAATGTAATTACCATTTTACTATATTTAAGTAGAAGTTTTATATTATTTAGTTAAGGTTTTACATTAGTGTAGTTAACGTTTTACATGAATGCACTGAATGTAATATGTGTCTTTGGTTCTCAGTTCCAAATGTGCATGATCAGTTATTTAAGTTATAATATTTTTTTATTGCTATGAATTGGAAGTTATGGTACAAACTTAATCATTACAATACATGCAAAGAAAGCGAATACCAAATGTAAGATAGAAGCATTCAAGAGGGGGGCATTTTAGCACCTAGTTGACAGATTTGCATTGCATTCACTTCCTTACACTTATTTATTTTGCTTAAGTACATGTTTTACATTGTTTAGAAAATATTTTACATTGGTGCAATGAATGTTTTACACGAGTCCAATGACTATTTTACGCTCCTTAAGTACAAGCTTTATATTATTCAGTAAAGGTTTTACATTATTCAAAAAACATAAACAAAATAAACCAAAGGCCCATAGCAATTTGGGTCGTTGGAACGCCAGAACTGTCATATGAAGATGATGAACGTGGTGCAAGGATGCAATGATGATGAAGATGATTGAGAAAATGGAATGCCTATAGTCTAGCCTTGTTCCTTCTTTCCTCCTTTGATCTAGCCCATTCCTCTCTCTGAAGTCTTGAACAAAAGACTCATCTTTACCCCCTTCTTTAATTGTGCCCTGTGTCTTCAAAATGTGTTCTTGAATTTGAATAACCCAGCTATAGCTCGTAAGGGAAGAAATAAAAGGAGTAAGGATAATTTAGTAAATTCCAAAAAGTACTTTAAGGGCAATTTTGTCTCATGCATTCATGAACAGTAAAAATTGACATATTTGTAATAATTTTTGCCTAAAGGGTTTTTTAATGAGTTTGTTTTTAAGTGTTTACATTCTGGCAAATATAGTTTCCAAAAGTGTTTTTTAATTAAATTAACCTTAATTTATTCAACAAAGTTAACTTTTTTTTTCAGTTTTTTTATTTTTTTATTTTTCATCAAAAGAGCTAACTTTTTCTTCTTCTTTTTTTTTTTTTTGTAATTTATGATAGGTCTTTTCAAAAGAGATAATTTATTCAATAAAAATAATATATATTTATATTTTTGGTCTTATTAAAAGAGATAATTTATTCGTAATTTTTTTTAATCCTTTTTTCATATATATATTTTTTGGATCTTGGCAAAATGGATAATTTCTTAAATAAAGATATTTGTTTTGGATTTTTTTCTCTATTAAAAGAGATAATTTATTCAATAATCGTGTCATCTCAACAAACCAATCCTCACGGGCAGCTATCAAACTTATTGATGATTTTGTGAGGAATTACCTTTTATCTAACAAATTCTCCAACCGCAAGGATGGTAGATCGACGGCTGCTGTTTGGAGCCTTCCAAGTTCAGTCATTGGAGAAACCATGCCCTCTACTAGCTGATCCTCTTGGCCTACAATGTTCTGTTCTCCTTTCCCCTTTCTGTTGCTCAAACACCTTCTATGGTGCTGTTGCAACAATAGTTAGTTTGGTGGGCTAGGCTTATTGTTTTGGGTTTGTTTGGTAGGCTTGCTTAGCTTTGTGTGATGGGCCTTACTTAGCCTACTTTTGTTGTATTCTTTGTGGGTTTTATATATTTGATCCATTTACCCAAAAAAAAAAAAAAAAAGATGGATAATTTACTTTTTTAATGGGTACCTTTTTTCTCGGTCTGGTGAAAAGAGGCAATTTATTATTTATTCAATAGAAAAAAAACTTTTATTTTGAATAATTATTTTTTGTCCTATAAAAAATATATATACATTCAACAAAAACATATATATATATTTTTTATCTTGTCAAATAGAAACTTAAAATATGTAAGATGAGAGACAAAGAGAGGAATCTGAAAGGCCTTAATAATAATTATTTACTTGTAAAGTTAATAATTAACTATTTATAAAGTTCAGAATTAAATTATTAATTTTTATAAAAAAAATCATTAATTATTGATTAATATATATTTTTTAAATAGAGTGTTGAGTATCGCCTCCCAAAATTAAAAATTGGGGTCACGTCGTCAACTTTATATGTTGACAACTTTATATGTTGACATAGTTGATACTTTTTTAATAGTAACAACAACCATCTTCTTCTCTAAAGATAAAGGATGAATCACTCTAAGTCAATCCATTAGTATTTGTATTCGCTGCGACAAAACTATATAAATGATATACACCCGTCATATTTTCATACTTGAAGACACCAACACTCCACAAATGAAACCTCTACCGCTTTTATATGGTTACCAACTAAATATCAACTCTTTTAGCATCTTCCATCAAAATATCCAAGATTTTTATTATCTCTACAAGGTTTTCTATATTCTAAAATCCCCCACACTCAACAAGAATTAAGTCTATAGAAATCTTTATATATATATTAAAGACTCTAAAAACTAACTTTTAAGTTTATCATAGAGACATGTAATGTTCAATAAGCATTTGTGTCACTTATGGTGGCACAACCTCTCTCCAACTTGACATGGTGTGACACTGTATTATTATATATTACATAACACACCATGAAATGGAATGAATTAAGTTTTATGTAAAATTTATTTTTATCTAAGATTAAATATAAATTTTAAAGTAAATCCGATACTTATATTCTATTGTCAAAATATTAATTATGTATATTTTGGATTTATTTGGATTATACACGAGTTATTTAGCTTAAAGATAGACATTCATGTATAAGCGTGAATTCAGAAGAGAAATTTGAGGGAAAAAATGTAGAGCAGAAAAAGAAAAAAGAGGAGGAACCTTAGAGATAGAAAGGACGTAGGATAGCTAGGTTGATGAGTTATCTAGCACCTAAATCTAATAATAGAATAAATAGAATAAAATAAAAATCTTATTCTAAGTTAGTAAGTACTAACTTAAAGAAATATACTAACCATAACATTTGCACAATATAATAGGTTATTATAGATATTTGCGACAATGCCAACTTTGTAAGCGAACAAAGTTGGACTTGTGATGTGTCATCAGATGTCAATTAGTGATTTATTTGTAGCCTCTAAGAAGTAAATAAACAATAACTAACAATCTACCATGCAACGCACACAATAACATTTTTAGTGCAAAAGCAAAATAGAGAATTGAAATGATAAATAGGCAAAAGAGCAAAAAACTCTTTTTATCTATACAACTGTTGCATAATACTCTTTTGAATTATTTTTAGAAGCAAGTTGTCCCCCTTAACTATTAAAAACAAGTAAAATGCCTATTTTAAGGCCATCGGAAACAACTTTTCTACCAGCAAAGCGATACAATTAATAATTTACCCTTAGTTATTTATTTATTTATTATAAAAAATATAAAATTTACGGATGTGAAATACCAATAATGCCCTCAATAGTTAATACTATAAAATAAACAAAAACTTCAAAACATTATTAACAAGTTGGGACCGGAAGGAAAGAATCAAAAGTCCAAGTTTTCTTTCTTTTTGATTTTCAAATAATTTATTCACAGTGAAACCAAGAACAAGAAATAATTCATATCTTTATAATTGATAAAGGCTTTTTTAATGCATTTAAAGGACCGAATAATGCTTTGAATATCTAACCTAATGTATGCATATCACCAACCATGGGCTCAAGATTTCTCTAACTATAAAATCAAAACCTAATTAATCCTACAAGATACAATAAGATCTCAGATTTAGTTGGACGTGAACTGAATCGTGAATAAATGAACAAAAAGTCATCTAAGCAATCAAACTAAAAAAAATTAAAAATATATAGTCTAAAGAGAAACATCAAGAAAGAAACGCAAGAAATCAAGAACATACCACTGTCTTCATTGGAAGAATCCCAGGAATAGAATCCAAACGGATCGTCGCCAAGGAAATTGCCGGAATTCGAAGCTTTTGCTCTGAAATGGACGAAGGAAGAGAGCAATTGACGGTGAAGAAGAGAGAAATTGGCGAGCAAAGTGAGAGGTGAGGGAGAGAGAGAATGAAAGGTTTCTTTAGTGCGAGAAGAAGAAAGAGTGGCGAAGCAGAGGGTATCGGTTTCTGCCATTGTAGAGAGTGTGTGTGTGTTTAGAGAGAAAGGGGGGCTTTGGGGTTCGGAATTTGATGGATTTGGGAAAGGTCTGGCAATTAACAATTTGCCTCTTCACGAAACTCCTCTACTCACACCTCTCACCTCATGTGGCCAGTTATGAAGCCAATTCCAATCTCACCACCATCATTGATCACATGAAGCTCTGTTCCGGTAACAATCACCGGCGTCACTGCGGGCGATGGCAGCCTTACAGCTTTTCGTGATGGGAAAGACTGAAGAAGGAATATATATATATATATAAGGGCATTATTGGTATTTCACATCCATAAATTATATTTATTTTCTAATAAATTAATAAATAAGGATAAATTAGTAATTGTATCACTTTACCGGTTGGAAAGTTGTCTTCGATGACCTTCAAGGGGGTTTTTTACTTGCTTTTAATAGTTGAGGGGGGCAACTCGATTCTAAAAATAGTTTGGGGGGGGCATTATGCAACAATGGTATAGTTTAAGGGTGTTTTTTGCTCTTTTGCCTAATAAATATAATGATCACTTTGTTTAACTCTTAGGCTATGTTTGGTGTGCAGGAATGGAATGGAATGCAACTTGGAATGGAATGAGAATGCGAATGGAATGATGGAATGGAATAAGTATTACCATTTTAATGTTTGGTGTGATACGGTGAATCGTTATGGAATGAAATGATTATTACCATTCTATTGTTTGATTGACTATCATTAAATCTGGAATTGAATGATTTTTCTCAAAAATACCATTTTCATTACTTTTTAATAAAATCAATCTAATTAATATTTTGTTAGTACAATTTTATCCAAAAACGGATTGAATATTTAACCTAAGAAGCTGATGTAAAGGCTTATATATATATATATATATATATATATATATATATATATATAATATGGTTGAAGGTCCTGTAACTTTTATATTCAGAAGAGAGGGAAGGTGAAAGACCTTTACCACGTCTAATAAAGAAGCTGGAGAAGCGTGAAAAATAGAATATGAAAGATTTTTGGTCTATGCGAAATATTTTTGCCTTATTGGAATGTGATGAAAGGCTTATTAGGAATATTACAAAAATATTTAATCTTACTATGGAATGGAATGGCCATTCCATAGGTTTAGTAATGAAATGGATTTTCTTTCTCTGTAATGGATTTTCATTCAATTGGAATGGTCATTCCATTCCATTCTTGCACACCAAACAAATAACTGGTTGTAATGGGCATTCTATTCCGTTCATGCACACCAAACATAGCATTATGTCAATTAATTCTGATTGTAACTTAAGAGCCTCAATCAATGTGACTGTGACGCTAAGTCTAAGGCTTTGAACTTATATAAATGCAAAAACGTGGCCACAACCTAAGATTGTATCAATTATCTTATGTATATACAGGAAGGTCCAAAATAATGTACTAAAACTCAATTAGTCAACTACATTTTATTACTTTATCAGACTTAATCATAATTAATAATGTTAACTTTAATAGTCAATTTATTCTATAACACAGGTCAGATTCGTCGCCAATTCAAGACGATTTTTTATAATTTTGATATTGACACATGAATCAATATTTACGGTATCTGTCATTTTCTAGACCAGTGAAAAGGAAAGGAGTGAGAAAAAACAAATATATAGAGTAGAGACAACAATATATTTTGGATCTGAATATATATTTAATAAAAGCCATTCTCCATCCCATTTCTTTTGTTTTCCCCGCAGCAAGGCTACATACGGAAAATATAATCACAAGACTCAAATAGTATGGAACCTGTTCAACTTTTATTATTATTATTATTTATTTTAACAATCAAAAGCTTTACTTTACCCTCCCATTAATTTTATAATTTCAATATAACATCACGAAGACCTTTAGACATCATAAAATCATGTATTTATTTATACGTAGAAAAAAATAATATTTTAAATTTATATTAATTTTTAAATTTATATATTTTTTGTTTTTTAATTCCCATAAGTTGAAAAATAAATATGGTATTGTATTGTGGTAGTAGTAGTGAAGATGGTGATGGTGTAGATATGGCGGTAGTGGTTGAGATTGCAAGGAAGATGGAAGAGATTAAGGAAGAGAGAGATTGAATAAAGTTATTCACTAATTATGATAAATTGACTATAAAAATTAACATTATTAACAATAGTTAAGTCTGATAAAGTAATAAAGTGTAATTGACTAATTGAATTTTAGTATTAAAAATTTGTTATTTCAGATCGCATGAGAGCCTTCCTCATATATATATATATATATATATATATATTGCATCTAGCAACATTTTTTACATTAAAAAATTTTCCTTCTTATTTTTGGTCAAAGATTCACTGTAAGCACCATGAAGCAGATGATACACTTGATATTATAATATTATTGGTGTGTATGTCTAGTTGGGGTGCTTGGATGACGTGTCATACACAGAATGTGTGATGTGAACCATTAGGCAGTACAACACAAATTACTACAGGGGTCAAGATGATCCGAATTTCTTATTTGTGTATAGTGTATTCAGAGGGGTTGTAATGTGAAAAACACCATCCAATATAGATATAGTGCATTTCTATATCTATATTATTATTAAATATACAAAGAATTTCAGTATTTTAATATTTAATATTTATTTATTAATATAAAAAAATATTTATTAATTGTTTTAGCAGTTCGGTATTTATTTATTAATATAAAAAAATATTTATTAATTAATATGAAAAGAGTTTTTATAAAAATAGTTTTTATAAAACTATAACACAAATTACCTAATAAAATTTCAGAGTTTATATAAAACTCTAACGCAAATTATCTAATAAAATTTCAGTTACCTATTTTATTTTCTATAAAACTCTATCACATATAACGTGTGTGTGTGTGTGTGTGTGTATTAGGTTGTGGTGTGCATATTTTTTCTTTTCTCTTTATAATTGGTCTTTGTTAGTTTTTTCTTTACTTTTTCTTTTTATAAGCATTATTATTAAGTTATTTTTATTATTTTTTCTCTTTCTAATTGATGTTTATGTTTAGAAGTAGTTGATTTGTTTTATTTTTATTTTCTCTTTTTAATTGATGTTTCTAATTGATGTTTAGAAGTAGGGATGGCAATTTGACCCGCCCCCGCGGTTATCCACCCCACCCAGCATCGCTTTTGGCGATTTTGGGGGACCGTTTTGCTTATTTGGGCAAGGATGGTTTGATGTAATAAAAACCCGCGCTGGTTTGGTGCGGCGGCGGGGGGAGGTCGCTCCGCGCCGCGCCGCCCCATTTAGATAGACAAATTACTTAAGTACCCTTATTTTATTAGTGTATATATTTCCCACTATATATTAAGTACCATATATAACAATATTAAAGTAACAAATGAATTTGATTAAAAGTAAATTTGCAATTGTGAAGAATTGAAGATGAGGGAAAAAAAAAAAAATAGAGCAAATCTATTTCAACAATAAATAAATTATGGTCTTAAACGGGGTGGGATGGGTACCCGCGGGGGTAAAAATGTTAAACGGCTATGGGGATGGGGTGGAAAGTTTTCTTGTTTTGACGGTTTTGGGTGGGAATAGGAGCGGAGTTTTTAAACGGTTGTGGGGGTGGGGAGGGTACACCCGCCCAAACCCACCCCGTTGTCATCCCTATTTAGAAGTGGTTGATTTTTTCTTCTTTTTTATTTTATTTTATTATTTTTGGTTTATTCTTAATTTATTATTATTTTGAGTCATTATTGTTTTTTTTTTTTTTTTTTTCAGAAGTATCATTCTTCTTTTTTCTTTAGTTTTTATTTTTATTTTACTCTTTGTAAGTATACTTTGGATGGTTCAAAATTTGTTATTCTTAATTTGTTGTATTGAGAAGGTTGGATTGTTAATTTTTTTCTTTACTTTTTCTTTTTAGAAGCATTATTTATAACCTGTATATATATATATATATATATTGGCTGGTATACCCACCCGGGCTACAAATCAGGGATGCTGTCGACGGCCCCACACCTCAACTACAATTTCAGTTGAGGGTTGTATATATATATATATATATATATATATATATTAGGTCAGGCTTGTGGTGTGCATATTTTTTGTTTTCTCTTTATAATTGGGCTCCGTAAGTTTTTTCTTTACTTTTTCTTTTTATAAGCATTATTATTATGTTATTATTATTATTATTTTTTCTTTCTAATTGATGTTTATGTTTAGAAGTAGTTGATTTGTTTTATTTTTATTTTCTCTTTCTAATTGATATTTCTAATTGATCTTTAAAAGTGGTTGATTTTTTTTTTCTTCATTTTTTTGTTTTATTATTTTTGGTTCATTCTTAATTTATTATTATTTTGAGTCATTATTATTTTTTTTTTTCTTTTTCAGAAGTATCATTCTTCTTTTTTCTTTAGTTTTTATTTTTATTTTACTCTTTGTAAGTATACTTTGGATGGTTTAAAATTTGTTATTCTTAATTTGTTGTATTGAGAAGGTTGGATTGTTAATTTTTTTCTTTTTTTTTTTTCTTTTTAGAATTATATATATATATATTAAGTCAGGCGTGTGGTGTGCATATTTTTTCTTTTCTCTTTATAATTGGTCTCCGTAAGTTTTTTCTTTACTTTTTCTTTTTATAAGCATTATTATTATGTTATTATTATTATTATTTTTTTCTTTCTAATTGATGTTTATGTTTAGAAGTGGTTGATTTGTTTTATTTTTATTTTCTCTTTCCAATTGATGTTTAGAAGTGGTTGTTTTCTTCATTTTTTTATTTTTTTATTTTTGGTTCATTCTTAGTTTATTATTATTTTGAGTCATTATTGTTTTTTTTTTTTTTTTTCTTTTTCAAAAGTATCATTCTTCTTTTTTCTTAAGTATTTATTTTTATTTTACTCTTTGTAAGTATACTTTGCATGGTTCAAAATTTTTATTCTTAATTTGTTATATTGAGAAGGTTGGATTGTTAATTTTTTTCTTTACTTTTTCTTTTTAGAAGCATTTTTTTTTTTTTTCTCTTTTTAATTGATGTTTAGAAGTGGTTGTTTTGTTTCATTTTAATTTTATTTTTCTAATTGATATTTAGAAGTGGTTGATTTGATAAGTTTACTTTTGGATTGTGATTGTTTTTCTTTGTTTCAATGTTTTTTGTTTTGGGTTAGACTTGATTTTGAATTGAATTTGTACGTTGTTGAAAAGTTTTTATATGTTTTTTTTTTCAATTTTTATTATATATTTTTTTTGATTCATTC